TTTTTTCTTTTTGCTTATGTGCTGCTGAGGAATCGAACCCAGGGCCTCATGCATGCAAGGCAAGCACTCTACCACTGAGCCACCTTCCCAGCCCTGATAGGGAAATATTTAGAGGGACAAAAACCTATCTCTGTTCAAATGACTTCTTCCTCCCCTCTCAAAGAGGAAACTGAAAATATAGGGTGGAGGGGAAAATGCTGAGCTTCTGTGAAATCAGTCCCTTGAATCTCACAAGGGTGATCTTTGGAAGCAGCTGTTCCTGAGATCTGCCCTTCCAATAGGTGATGATATATGCTACCTCTTCCTTAATTTCCAGTGCCTCTTGATATAGCAGTCTGGAGAATGAGAAGCTGGACCTGACCAACAGAAAGGAGTCTGTGGGCACCACTGACACAGCATCAGACCCACAATCAGGGAACAGAGGGGACACAGGGTTAGACACCTCCCCAATACCATGTCTATGTTCCCATAGCTACAACCTGCCCCATAGCAATTCAAACAAATTCTTCCTGGCCCTAAGCATACACTACTCATTTAAATTAATTCACTCCAAAGTTTTCTTCTTCGAAAATAAGTTTTAATAATTACCTCAAAGAAGAATAATATAGGATCTTCAGGTAAAGAATCTGTTACACTCCAGGGTAAGGTCAATTAGTAGGGTTGACCCATAGGACATCATCAGTCATGTTCCCCAGGCAATGGGAATTATGCTGAAGATGGGATGTGGAGAAAGGGGCCATTCTCATCTCTGGTCACAGATGTAGTAACAAAGATAAAACCAAGTGTGGGCCAAGGCTGGAAACAATGGTAAATAACAGAGCTTTTCCTTTCTCTGATCCAGGTTTGTCCTTTTAAGGAAATGTGCTGTTTTGCTTCTCCTAAATATGATTGGTATTTCATCAGTACTAGATAGCTGTACTTGATAAAAGAGTACTTGATTCAGTTATCTCAAGTACTGAAGCTTGACCATCCATCTTGAGTTGTGCCTTTTGTGAAACAAAATCTTGTGTAGGGTCCTCTGCCCTCCATACTTCTAGTTCTATTCAGTAAGTTCACTGATGCTGATAACCTCAGGAAGGCTAGACTGCGGGCTGCCAGCCCTTATGATGCTCCCTTGCTTAGACCAAAACAGGATTCAATTTGTAGGGTTTTTTTTTTCCCTCCCTGCTGGTACTGGACCTTGAACTCAAGACTTCATGTTTGCTTGCTCATAGCTAATGCTCTACCACTTCAGGCAGGCACAGCTCATTTTGGGGGCTGGGGGGAAGGGGGGTGTTGGTTATGGGGCTTGAATTCTGGGCCTGAGCCCTGACCTTGAGCTCTTCAGCTCAAGGATAGCACTCTGCTACTTTAGCACAGCACCATTTCCTGTTTTCTGGCTGTTAACTGGAGATAAAGTTACATGTTCCTGCCCCGACTGGCTTTGAACAGTGAGTCTCAGATCTCAGCCTCCTGAGTAACTAGGATTACAGGCATGAGCTACCAGCACCAAGCCCCACTCATTTTTTTTTTTTGTGTGTGACAGTCCTGGGGCTTGAACTCAGACCTCAGTGCGGTCCCTGAGCTTCTTTTGCTGAAATCTAGCACTCTACCACTTGAGCCACAGCACCATTTCTGGCTTTTTCTGAATAGTTTATTGAAGGTAAGAGTCTGACAGACAGGTGAACTATAGTCCAGGCATGTGCCTGGGTAGGAAGCAAGATCCTATTTTAAAAATAGCCAGCAAAAAAAAGGGCTGTAGGTACGGACTAGTAGTAGAGTATCTCTCCTAGTAAGCATTCAGCCTTGTGTTCAAAACTTTAGAACCAACAACAAAATTTGAAGTATTCCTTCTTTTTCACAGACTATCATAATGTAGTCTAAGCTGACTATGAACATATAATCCTCCTGCCTCGGCCTCTCAGTGTTGGGATTACACTGTACCACACCATATGTTTATGTCCTTCCTTTTTAGAAGTCCTATCTCCTGTTATTTTGATTTTTCCACTTATTTCCACTTATTTTCCCATTAGCCTACTATTTCTTTTTTTTTTAATCCAATCGTGGGGCCTGAACTCAGGGCCTGGGTGCTGTCCCTCAGCTCTTCAGCTCAAGGCTAGCGCTCTACCACTTGAGCCACAGCGCCACTTCCGGCTTTTTTTTTCTTTTTGCTTATGTGGTGCTGAGGAATCGAACCCAGGGCCTCAGGCATGCAAGGCAAGCACTCTACCACTAAGCCATCTTCCCAGCCCCCTACTATTTCTTTTTTTGAAGGAGAAGCTCCTTAAACATGGCAGCTGATCTCCTTTACTGACTGGCTATTTGTGAAAAATGTCTGAGAAAACTTGTTCTCAAGAGCATCTGATAAATAACTATTCACAAAACATAATGGTGAGAAATTGACTAATACAAAGTTTCCTTTTAAAAACAGAGAATAGCTGGGTGCCCATGGCTCACACCTGTAATTCCACCTATTCAGGAGGTTCATGGTTGAAAGCTAGCCGGAGGAAAGTCCATGAGGCTCTTATCTCCAATAATTAATCACCAAAAAAGCCAGAGGTGGTGTGGCTCAAGTGGTAAAATGCTAGCATTGAGCTTTCCCAGGCCCTGAATTCAAGCCCCAGGATTAGCATGCACACACACACACACACACACACACACACACACACACACAGAACAACACTAGGAACTCTTGGCTACTTAAGAGATTGAGTGATCACTGATTTAGTTATTTGTTATTGAGACTCTGGTGATACTCACATAACTGATTTTGTGTTTAGGAACAAGACATTATAATATCTGAAAAGAAGAGAGGCACAAAAAGGAGAGTGGTAGTGGGAGCTTCACAAGAGCTAGTCCTGAAAGCAACTGTATAAAACCATGAGGAAGTTGAACATAGAAAGCTAAGTGAGGGTGCTGAAGCATTAAAGGGGTAAGAATTCCCCTTAGACTAAAACCCCTACAACAGGATTTTGACTTCCTAGGATCACACTCCCTTTGAGAATGGTAAGACCCTTTTTCCCAGAAAATTGTATATACCCAGACTTTTGCATACAATTTCAGGCTTACAGAGCCTGTGAAGTTCATCATAGACTTTGTGTATATGTGTGTAAAGATTTGTATTTAAAGGACCCTCTGCCCTATGGTGTGGGCACAGGTCCATTTTATGAGACCCTATGTTCATGGGAGACTTCCTTGTAAGAATGCTAATATAGCTCTATTATTTAAAAAAATCTTAAGTATAAAGTTGTTAAAGGATTAAATTTAATTATCTGATTGACTTTAATAGTGGGAAGTTTATGTTCTAGCTAATTTGAATTATCTATAGGGTGAGGCTTTGATAATTGGACAACTTCTGGACTTTTAGATCACTGTTTTGGATGTGTGATAATTCAGTTCTGAAGGTAAAAATATTCACTTAAAATTGCTCAGGATGCGCTCTTAAAATATAACAAAACATATCTTGCCCATGTAATTGTAACCCCTCTGTACAGTATTTTCACAATAAAAAAAAAGAAATAGAAAAAAAATGTAACAAAACATTGTTTTGTCTTTTTTTTTCTTTTCTGGTTGGTCATGGGGCTTGAACTCTGGGCCTGAGCCCTGTCCCTCAGCTCTTCAGCTCAAGGCTAGCACTCTGCCACTTCCGGTTTTCTGGTGGTTTATTGGAGATAAGAGTTTCACGGATTTTCCTGCCTGGGCTGGCTTTCAACAATGATCCTCAGATCTCAGCCTCCTGAGTAGCTAGGATTACAGGCATGAGCCACTGGCACCTGCATTGTTTTGTCTTATACTAGCATTTTTCCTGAGGAAAGAGTTAATTGCTCAATTCAAAATGAGATGAATTACTGGGAGATACAATACTGTTGGTGTAATAACTTTAATGAAGTTTGGAACATATGAGTGACTTTTTTTAAATGATTGATTGCCACCTCCCTCCCCAATATCTAGAATTGAACACAGGTCTTTTTTTTTTTTTTTTTTGGTTGATCATGGGGCCTGCACTCTGGGCCTACGAGCTGTCCCTCGGCTCTTCAGCTCAAGGCTAGCGCTCTACCACTTGAGCCACAGCACCACTTCCGGCTTTTTTCTTTTTGCTTATGTGGTGCTGAGGAATCGAACCAGGGCCTCATGCATGCAAGGCATCCGCTCTACCACTGAGCCACCTTCCCAGCCCCTGAATACAGGTCTTTGGATAGGTTTTACCACTTGAGTCACAACCTGGCCCTTTTGTTCTTGGGATCTTACTAACTGCCTGGCTTAGCCCTTGAACCATGATCCTCCTGTTTCTGAGTCCCAGAGTAACTGAGATTATAGGTTTATGCCAGCCATTGTACCCAGCTAAAATAAATGATTTTTGATCTTTACAGTCAGAATGAGACCCTCAGCATAATCTTTATTACAAGAAATTGAGTAGTAATAATGGGGGCTGGGAAGGTGGCTCAGTGGTAGAGTGCTTGGCTTATATGCATGAGGCCCTGGGTTCAATTCCTCAGCACCATATAAGCAGAAAAAGCCGGAAGTGGTTCTATGGCTCAAGTGGTAGAGCACTAGCCTTGAGGTGAAGAGCTGAAGGACAGCACGCAGGCCCAGATTTCAGGCCTCACGACCCACTAAAAATAATAATTACAAAGAGAGGCTGACAAGGCCTTCAGTGGGGGAATGTCACAAGTGACAGTCAATAGGCAACAGCACCTTCACCCCATTAAGACTACCCAGTAGATGAGCAGCAGGAGGGGCCCAGGAGCTGGTGGCCTGGTGTAATGGCCAGCTTTGGGCACATCTGTCTATAGCTTCTCTGCAATCTTTCATAGAGCCTAAACAGGAGGATTACAGTTTTTTTTTCAAATACTAGTAAAAAGGAATTGTTTCCAAATTTCTCCTTTTATTATCATAATTAATCTTTACTTAGCCAGCAGTAAAAACTCTTCAGACAGCATTATCACATTATTATTTACAGGCAAATTTGGACGGGGTTAAAATGGGCACTGAAAGACTCCAGGTCCCAGGAAGGCTGATCCTCTAGAGTCAGCACTAAAAGTGGGCCTAATAGGTTGTCCTGATGAGAATCGGATTTATTATTCTTGCTTTGTAACAAAGAATGATGTGATGGCAGCATCACACAGGGAAGACCAAGTCCACACTTTGTCCTGAATCAACCGCTACCACATGAGTCTTCTTAGTTAAGGCATTTGAGCCCACAGTGACAGAATAGATTCCTGGATATACTTCTATGTAGAGGTCCTTAGAGGTGTCCCCAGCCTGGAAAAAGAGGGCACCACAGTTTAGATCACGGCATTGAGATATGCATGCCAGAGGTGTGATGGGATGCAGTTCAAATGAGGGACATGGGTCCTGTTTTCAAGGCTCTGGTTGGTTACATAATAGCAGCTGCCATTTAAGTAAATCTTAGCCTTTATGCTTGATGACTTATGTCAAAAGCTGTGAAAACACTTGGTAAATGCTCAAGTGTTTTATCAATATGAGGGATTGTAAAAAGATACTAATTGGAGTGGAGTAAGAATAGGCAGAGGAAAAGGCTCTTGTTTGGGGGATCAGAAGTAAGACAGTGAAACCTGTGAGCAGACATTATAGCAATAATGGCAATGTCCCTTAGAATGATAAGAACTACTCGATTAGTGTTTTGCTAAATTCAGTATCAGGAAGATCAGGCACTTTTCTTCTAAGGCTAAGAACATACAAGAGGGAAGTGTAATAGCTGACAAAAGCCATTCTTTGGAGAAAGTTGAAGCTAACTGGAAGATTTGTGTTTAGAGCTGAAGTGAGCAAATACCATTCTCTAAGGCTACATGTTATAATGGCCGGGAACCAAGGTCATAGTAAGAACACAGGCAGAGGATGGGTCTCAGTTCAAATGGTGAAAGGGCAAAGTTATAAATCAGGAAAGGCCAGTAACAGCCAAAGTGCCAGCTGAATGCCACTACACACTCACTTGCTCAATGCTCAGAAGGGGCCACAGGCAGAAGCTGTCACTTTTAACACTATACATGGGATGAATGACTGCTGGCCAGCAAACTCCATGAGCAGGAGTAAGTGGTAACACTGAAACTTTGATGAAATTCCCTCTTTACTTTGTCTTCCAGATTTGAAGCCATTTTCTTCAAAAGCTGCTTTATGTTTTATACTTTCATGCCCAGCTTCTGCAAAATTATTAACACTTAACTGATATGAATACATATCACAATATAACACTATTGATTGTCACTGTGTTGAATAAGACAATGAAAAGCCAAGCATACTCACTCCATTAATAGGATGTCTGCATACAAGGCAGCACCAGGATTGGACAGGCATCTATGATTCCAACACTATAATTTATCACGGCGATTAGCATCACCAAAACTTAGAGGCTACTAGAAGCTTTCTAGAAGCTAGCAAAGCCTGGTACCTTTTTTATTACCTTGTATGTAAACAAAAGTAAGGAATTTATTGCTGAAGTTCCTTTCCTCAAAAACCTCAGTCCTTCCAAGTTCCAAAAATTCCCCGAACTGACGAACTAATGAGTATTTTAATCTAAAGATGAAAAACTCATAGCTTTTTTTTTTTTTTTACAGAGAACATTTGTGGAAAATTGGAACAAATAACCTCCAAATGTTTTGGAATCTGATACCTCACCAAATATATATGTTTTAGAATTCCACAATAGTTGCATTTTACAAGCAGAAGGGTCAGGCCCTCCTGCTGCCTGAACAGATGGTGGAATTCTAACAAGACCAAGCGCCAGCCCAGCTGAGCTGTAGGAACAGAAATGTGAATACTTCACATTCTTTCCAACCACAACTATGAGTTCAGGCCCAAAGAGCATCCCTAAGCTTCAAGTGAAGGAAGGATACCAAGAAAACATAACTTTACACTGAACCAAAATGTTGTACCCTTCTCCTCAAGGGTAACAACATCTTAATATAAAAACACTACAGCTCTAGTGAAACAGGGAGCTGGATAATTAACAGGTCAACTGGGTCAAAGGATGGCAATGATGGTAAAGCCAAGCATACTCACAGACTGTACTCACCAGATCGGATGCTTCTGAAGCAAGGTCTGATGTTTGATAGATGCCTTCTGCGTGAAGGGATGGCTTTTCTCTGTCTTTCATCTAAGAGACAGGGTCAAGAGACAAGTAGAAACACTGATGAGGTAGGGCCCAAGCTTTGACTTTTGGAGTGCAAAGAATTTTTCTCCAACTTGTTAGAATTGCTCTAAGTTTTGTTTTGTTTTTTCCTGGGGCCTGAACTCCGGGCCTGGGAGTTGTCCCTGAGCTTTTGTGCTCAAGGCTAGTGCTCTATCGAGTCATAGCTCCACTTCTGGTTTGTTTTTTTTTTTTTTTTGTAGTTTAGTAGAGATAGGAGTCTTACAGACTTTCCTGCCACAGCTGGCTTTGAACCATGACCTTCAGGTCTCAGCCTCCTGAGTAGCAGTATTACAGGCACCCACTCTCTTTAAGTTTGTTGTTTTTTAAAAGTTATCATCTAAGTTTTTAAAGCTCTTTTGAGTAAATTTAGAGGCATATTTTAAGTCATGTCTCCCAGGATTTACATAGGCCTTGGAGTTAAACAAACCTGAGTTTAAATCCTATTTCCTGCTACCTATGAAGAGAGATTGTTTAACTTCTCTGAGCCTTGGTTTTCTAGACTATAACATGGGCTACTTAGCAACAATTTAAAGTGAAAAAGTAATGACTCTTAAGAGCCTCTCAGAAAATAAAATTATCTTGTTCTAGGAGTGGGGAACTAAAAAGGAACATACTGACTAATAGGGCCAATTTTCTTAGGGGAATCAAATTACATTTTGAGGAAAGCTAATGACTCTTTCACCACAAGTTCCCTTGGAGGTCAGGCCTAATGAAGTATGGAGAGCT